AGCTCGGCGGTTCAAAGCTGGGGTCCTGAGGGATGGGGTCCTAAGGATCCAGTGGAGGCCCGACCACAAGAGACCTTCCACAAGAAACCCAACCCTGAGACCCCAGGACGTCCATTGACGTGTGGTGTGGGAGCGTCACGCTTTCCATCACAAACCATCGAAACCCAAGAAGGGCACCCTGGAGGCAAGCAGGATGTTTCTTGGCATGGGCCTCCAATGTAGGAAGGGATCCAATAATGGATTCACACTGTTCGAGGCACCACTCCACTTCCTCAGGACCCCACCCCTCAGGACCCCATCTTTGAACCACCGAGCTTGGCGGCACTCGGCACACCTCCCGGGCACGGCTCCGCCTGAGGCGCTGGGCACCAGGAGCGCGATCCCCTGCTTTGGGCGCGCCGCTGACTGGGGGACCGACAATGATGTTCCAACCTAACCGAAACAAATCTCGAACACCAGAAAAAAGTACCGAAACTCGAGGGTCTTCACGGGTCGGGCCCTGGGAGACACTCGCCCGACACTGTTTCGACACTCTTTCGACACTCTTCCAGGTGCTCGAAACTGTTCCTGGGGTGTGGTCCTTGAGTACACAACATAAACATGGGTGGGAAGAATGTGCACTTTTCGAGGCCGAGCGGCCTCCCTTGGGGCGCTAAAGGGATCTTTTTTCAGAGGCCCTGGAGGGCCCCTGTTCTGCCGCCCTCGCTGCCCCTCATCCATCGCCCCCCCATTACGCGATGCGCCGATGCGCCGTGCAAGCGCCTGACGCAATTTCCTTCCTTCCTTCCTTCCATGACGCGACGCCCGACTGCGGCCAACAACTGCGGCCACCGCACGCTCGCGGTCCACCCCCGAGCCCGGGGCGCCGCTCGCTGCCGCCAGCGGCCACGGCGCCGCGCTGCCTCCGAGAGGCTGCGCGACCGCGTCGCCGAGCAGGACGTCTCGCCAAGGAGGCGCCGAGGGAGCCCTCCTTGAGCCACCTCAGCACACTGGGCTGCCACACAGGCGGGCAGCCCCCCGCAGTCATCCTCCTGCGGCGCCCTGCGGCGCGACCGGCGGCGCATGCCAAGCAAGCTTGAGCCAGTCCGCAGGACGGCTTGAGCCAGCATGGCTACGGTAAGGAGGCGGGGATGGAGGAGGACAGGTGGAGTGGGAGAGGAGGAGGGTGAGGAGCAGGAGGGGGAGGGAGCAAGAGAAGGGAGCAGGAGAGGAGAAGGAGGAGGAGGAGGAGGAGGAGGAGGAGGAGGAGGAGGTGGAGGAGGTGGAGGAGAAGGAGGAGGAGGAGGAGCAGGAGAAGGGTGAGGAGCAGGAGGAGGAGCAGGAGGGAGGGGGCAGGAGAGGAGGAGGGTGAGGAGCAGGAGGAGGGAGGGGGCAGGAGAGGAGGAGGTTGAGGAGCAAGATCAAGATGGTGAGAAGCCCCTTCCCCTCCCCCCCTCCCCTCGTAGGACGAGGGCGGGGACCTGCCCCTGACCCCCTTGGGCTTCTCCTGGAAACGCTCCCGCGTGAGGGACGCCTCCTGGTCGAGGAGGACCGCGTCCTCGAAGGCGATGCTGAAGGCCTGCTGCATGCTCCAGAACCGGCGGCACACCTCGACGCGCATGTCCTCGCGGGCGGGAGACACATCCACGCTTGTACACTTGCATGTTCTACAGTGGAGACCCATGCCAATACACACCCTGCTTGCCTCCAGGGTGCTCTGGGTTTCTTGGGTTTCGATGGTTTTGCCATGGAAATCGTGACGTTCCCACACCAAAAATCCATGGACGCCCTGGTGTCTCAGGGTCGGGTTTCTTGTGGAAAATCGCTTGTGCACTGGCCTCCGCTCTAGGTCGTTCAGCTTTGCGCATCGCGGCCCGCGATGCGCGCAGCCGCTCTGGCCCAGACCGTGACGCGCGAAGGACGATGATCTTCGCACCCCGTGGGTGGCCACGATCTTCGACTACGAAAACGCCCATCCAGGAAATTCAAGACCGCGAATCTTCAACATGAAGCCCGGAGCTCTGCCCCGCTTCGATATCAGAGTGAGGGGGCCGAACGGTCTTACACCATCCCTGGGAGCGTGGCTGAAGTATGATTCCGCGGCGCGGATTCTGCCTGCTGCGTTGCGGTGCGCTGCTGTCGTCGTCCTCGCCCGCGGCCAACCCGCGACCCACCCGCGCCCACTCACTCTGATCGCAACTACAGGGGACGAAGTATAGCTATCACAGATCGACCCTCCTTCCGAACACAAGGGCAGCCTTCGCTCCTTCCCCGCGCCACCGTGGGCAGGTCTCCCGCTGGGCGAGCAGGTGGCACGCCGGCCGCGAGGGCAGTGCCGTCCGCTCTGGCCGCGGCCCCCTCGTCCCACGTTCGGGATGCCTCCCGTTTTCGCCTCCCCCTCTCGAGGCGCCTTCCGCTTTCGCCAGCGGGTTGAGTTTTGAGGATGTCTCGAGCGAAACACTGGTTTCTGAAATTCCGACCGATGGAAAGGCACATGGTGAGGTGAAGATTGCCGTGCGTTGCGGATGTCTCGAGCGAAACGCTTGTGCTGCAGAGTTTGTTGAGGACGTCTCGAGCGCTCTCGCCATTCTCGGCGGCGAGCGAGGGGGGGAAGTGCGAAGGAGCAGGCCTCTCAGAAGGCGGCGGGACTTCTCAGAGGCCCTCGCGCCGTCTGACGGGTGTTCTGTGGCTGCGGGGAAGGCCAGCGACACGTTGCCTCAGCAGGCGGGGGGATCTCCGAGCCTTCCGAGGAGGCCCGCCCCTCCTCGCTTCCCCTGTTTTTTTTATTATTTTTGTGTGTGTGTGTGTGTGTGTGTGTGTGTGTGTGTGTGTGTGTGTGTGTGTGTGTGTGTGTGTGTGTGTGTGTGTGTGTGTGTGTTGTTGTTCCCCTCCTCGCTTCCCCTGCGTGTTATTTTTTGTCCTTTGCCCCACAATATGTGTTTTGTATGTTTTTGTTTTCCCCCACAATGTTTTTTTTCCCTCGCTCGCCGCCGACGCCTGCCACTCGAAAGCCAAACGCCTCGCCTTGGGGGGGGGCGCCCGCGCAGGCCCCGCACGCTCTCCGGCCACAGGCCACCTGGGTACAGGCGCACGGTCCTCGCAAACCCGGGTCAGCTCATATGCAAGGCCGCCTCGCGGCCACGAGCGGCTCGCAAACCCGGGTCAGCCAGAGGAGGCCTTCGCAGGATCCTGCAGGATCCAGCGCCCTGGCTGACCCCCGTTTGCACTGACCCCCGTCTCGAGGCTCCCGACGCTTGAGGCCCGCAGGCTCCCCGGCGGCGCTCCCAACATGCGCGAGGAGGTCAAGACTGGAAGTGACCGACCTGGAAACCAGAAAACATAGAAACACCCAGAACAACAAACCCAATAACAAAAAAGGCAGACAAACATGAAACATCAGAAGACAGACACAACGAAACAACCCGGTTGTTCATGTTTTTGTGTGTTTTTTATGTTTCTTCCTGGAGCACGTGTCCATGTCCACTTGGGACGCCCGAGATGGGTGCGGAAAACAGGGCACGATGCCTAACAGCAAATGTTGTCCCAAGCCGGCAGGGGCCGCTGTTGGGCTGGCGGCCTTCCGTCTCAAAGGGACCCGCGGCGGCACCGACAGCGAGTCCCAATCAAAATGGGCGGGGACTGTTGGAAGTCTTCGTCCCCCTTCTTTCCGCACCCATTTCGATCGTAGCGATCCACGGCCCCGCGGTTCTGGACCCCCCCCGGGCCGCGACCCCGCAGACACGCGGCGCCCTGTGAGGGTGCCCCGCGCGAGATCGCGCCCGCAGGACCGCGCGTCCACGGAACCGAGCCTGCGGCATCCAGCCCGCGAGGGCTGGCACGTCCTGAATGCTTCCGTCGCTCGTGGTGTCCAAGGCCGCGCTAACGGCGTGCTTGGTTAACGGTGCGGTTGGGAATAGATAAACAAACACCGCTTCCTACAATGCAAATGTGCGATTGCGTCGAACGAACACGACACAGCGAGTTGTAGGAAAACACGAGCCACGCGTTCCTGCAAGCGGTGTGGCCACGAGCCACGCCTTCCTACACTTGGTTTTCCTACATCGCCATTAGCTAACACACCGTATGGGGCCACATGTGAACCCTACCCCTACCCCAGCGAAGTGAACTCAACCCTCCTCCTCAGAAATCGTGGGGGGTAGGGGTAGGGTTCGCATGTGGACCCCTACGCCGTTAGCGCGTCTACGGGGTGTCCTCCAGCTTCAGCGACGGCTGACACAGCGCCAGGCTCGCCAGGAACTCCTTGCGGCTGATCCCCCCCGAGTTGTCGACGTCGATCGTGCGGAAGGCCTTCCGCGCCACAGGCTCCGAGAGGCCCAGCATGGCGACGGCCCTGGCGGCGAAGGAGTCCTCGTCGAGGACCTTCGAGGAGCAACGATGGGAGGAACCAGCAACCTGCAACTCGCGATACATCGCCGACGGATGGGCGAGAGGCCCTCGATTGCAAAACATCCGTACGTTCTATGGCGCGAGGGCCTATCAGGCTCCCATCGGCGATAAGTGGGCGACGGACATTGCTCTCCTGAGCCTGTCCACCTCCCTGGCATTGCCCCTGAGCCTTGCTGCAATGCACGTCGAGGTCCGAGAAGGCCGAGCCGAGGTCGCCGTGGTACTTCTTGTGGAGGCGGTCCCGCAGGTCCTCGAGCAGCAGCTGGGGGGACACCACGGCCACGGCGCTGAGCAGCTCCGCGACCGACACGGTCTCGGAGCCCGGGTCCCCCCCTCGGCCACACGCAGGAGTGGCCCTGGGTAAGGAGTGACCTCTGGTGCGCGGCTTCTTCAGGGCCGCGGGGGGGGCCCAACCCCGAGCGCGCAAGACGCTCCTATCGCGCCGCGTTCGGCGATCGGTGGACCCCGCTGGACCCGCACCAAAGGTCGCTCCGGCGAAAGGCCACCCTTGCGCGGCAGTCGACCCCCGTGCTCGGCGCGCAGGATCTCGAACAGCGCCCAGTGCTCCGAGGGCTCGTACACCGCGACGCGGCAGAGGCGGGCGCCGAACTCCTTCAGGGAGAGCCGCTTCCGGCTCTCCTGCGCGCAGGGCGCGGGCGCCAATGGGCACGGCCGTCCGTGCCTGGCCGGGGGGGTGCCGCCTCTGGGCCCTGGTATATGGTGGTGGTGTCTAGTTGGGGATCCCCGACCGTGCGGTGACAGACCGTGCGGTGCCCTCGGAACCCCAGGAGACCTCACCGCACGGTCCGTCACCGCACACGGTCTCGGGACCCTGGAGGCCCCTGTCGCCCGGGACATCCTCGGAGAGGGACTCGAGTCCCAAAAGCGTGCGGCGACCCCGAATCCCCACCGACTCACCACACTGTGTGGTCACCACCCAATTGGGGGGCCTCCGACATACACGTGTACCTATACGACCGCCCTGCGGGCGATAAGGAGGTTGGGGGGGGATTGGGATCAAATGCCCACCCTGATTGACCTCCAGCCTGTCACCTTGATCTCATCTCTCTCTCTTTCTCTCTGTCTCTCTCACTCTCTCTCTCTCTCTCTCTCCCTGTCTCTCTCTCTCTCGCCCTCTCTCTCTCTCTCTCCCCCACTCTCGATCAAAGCCTCCCTCCACCACAATGGTGATCGCGTTGACGATGGGATCCCACTATCTACCTATCCGTCAACCGACAAAAATGAATTGATGGATTGGGGTGGGTGGAAAGGATTAGATGGGATAAGATGGATTTGATAAGATAAGATGGGTTGGATTGGAAGAGGTGGATTGGATAAGATAAGATGGATTGGATTGGCCTGCCGCAGGCGCACACACAACTGAATTGACGGATGGGGTTGGATGGATTAGATTGGGTGGGGTCAGATAAGATGGGACAAGATGGGTTGGATGATATAAGATGTATTTGATTGGACAATAATGATTTGACACTATAAGCTGGATTGGATAAGAAAGCCCGCCGCAAGCGCCGAACAACAAATTGATGGATAGGGTTGGGTGGATTTGATTGGATGGGATAAGATGGGTTGTATGAGAAGAAATGAATTGGATAAGATAAGATGGTTTGTACTGGCCCGCCGCAGGCGCAGAAACAAATTAATTGATGGATTTGGTTGGGTGGATTGGATTGGGTGGGATAAGATAAGATGGGATAAGATGGGTTGGATAATGTAAGATGGATTGGATTGGACAAGATGGATTGGATAAGATAAGCTGGATTGGATAAGAAAGCCCGCCGCAAGCGCCGAAACAAAAAAAAACATGAAATTAACGACATGCGTTAGCGCCGGGACGCCCGGGACACCCAGGACACCCGGGACACCGCCCGGCCCAACTGGGACACCTCCTGGCCACCGGCGCACGGGAAACGGACTTTCGCTCCTACTTCGGCCTAGCTACAGGAGGATCACGCGCAGCTTCGCCACGCCCGCACGCACGACACGAACACGAAACCGAAACCGATTTCCCGGTGGGGGGTCTCCGTTTCATTGTGATCTCACCCCCCAACCTCCGATACACACATGTGCACGTAACTGGCCGAGGCCAGGGGAGTATGTTCGGCAGCCTGGTGCCCAAGTCGACCCCGGCCAGGCACGGTGGTGTACAGTCGAGGTTGATTGGAGAGGACACGCGAGAGGACACAAGACCTTTCCGAGGGCAGCATTCGCATAGGAATGTAAGAAGGCATGGGTCGAAAAGCTCAGGACACAAGGGTACCCTTGACTTGGCAGGGTCGACCTTCTAATCAGTCTCGACTGTGCCCTCTGCGGATCCTGCCCGTTGTCGTCCATCCTCGCCGCCGCCTGGACCATCGAGGAGAAGCCGAAGGCGAGCCACCTGCGCCGCAAGCTCGCGGTGGTGCGCACCGGGGCCGTGGCCTCGATGGCGATCCTCAGCTCGGTGACCGACACGTAGCCGTCCCTATCCTTGTCGAGCTGGTCGAACACAGAGTCCATCCTGGCCTTCGTAAACCAGTCGAAGCCGTGCTTGCCCAGCAGGCGCAGCCACTCCTTCCTGGTGGGAGCGCGGGTCAGGGGGACGTCCTCCGCAAACCTCTCGAAGGCCTCGGCTACGCTGCCGAACCTGGGGGGACAAAACAACAAGGGCACGGCAGGACCTAGGACATAAAAAAAACATTCTTTAAGAACAGGAGACCCTGCGCCGCCCAAAAACTGAAGAACATCCACGGGCACCCTCCCCAGGATGCACAGAAAAGAGCCAACGCAGACACGAAGAGAATCAGGGCACCCTCCCCCGAGCCGACCTTTCTTTTTTTGCCTCGGCCCGACCATGCCCACGCCACCTCAATTCGCGCATCGTGTGAATATCGTTCAAACAGTCCCCACCCCCAGCGGCGTGGCCTGGGCCCCACTGGCCGATTTACCCCCTTAGATGGGGATATCGGCCGTTCCCTTCGGGTTTCGAAGGGTGTATTCCCAACTGGGGAGGTCATTTGGTGGGGGTCTCGAAAGGGCATGGGGATGGGCGTGGGGACTCGCTAAACGCTACCGAGCTGTGCCCCACGGGTCGCCCGCGGGAGTGCGCTCGCGCCCTCGCGCCGCGCCCACCTGGGCAGGGGCAGCGGCGCCGGTCCAGGCGCCGCGACGCGCCAGGGCGCGGTGGTCTTCGCGCCGCCGCGGGTGGCCCAGGTCTTCGACACCAAAGGGGAGCCCAGGGACACACAAGTAAATAGACACAAATACCAGGATTCCCCATCTGTTTCTATATTTGTCCCATATTCTCGCATGTTTTCCTGGGGATCGACGACTACTTGTGTCCGTGTGCTTTTGTCCCTCCTGAATCAAATCGCAACCCAATGCTCTGTCCCGCTTCGATATCGGAAGACGCAGACCCTGCGCGACTTGCGCGTATCATCCCTGCGCAGGGGCCGCGCCAATCTTCTCTGTACAGTGGAAGGCCCGTCCGCAAGAAGCCTTCCGCCAGAACCCCAACCCTGAGACCCCAGACCGTTCATGGATCTTTGGTGTGGGAACGTCGCGCCTTCCACCGCAAATCCAGAGAAACCCAAGACACCCAGGTCACCCTGGAGGCAAGCAGGGTTTTTCTTGGCAGGGGCCTCCACTGTATCGTTCCAATGTTCACGGATGCACCCCGAAAGGAATCCAAACCCCGCTTCAATATCAGAGTGAGTGGGCCGAACTAGAAGAAGAAAAATAAGATGAACATAAAGTTTTGGCACTCCGCGCGGATTTCTTGAATCTGCGCTGGACACTCTCTCTGGCGCGCGGAGCGCGCCAGGGGCGGCGCTGGAGGCGCCGCCGGGGGGGTGGGCCAACGCGGATCCAAGAAATCCGCGCGGAGCGCCGAATGTTTATGTCCGTGGCTGCCTTTCCTTTTTTTCCGACGAGCGGTCCTACGTAGAGTGGAGCCAGAGTAGATGGGGTCGGAGGATCGTGAGATCTATGTATATGTATGTGTATATGTACATGTATATGTATATGTATATGTCTATGTCTATGTCTATGTCGTCTTTCTCTCCCTCGCTCTCTTTCTCTCTCTCTCTCTATATATATATGTCTACGTATTTAGATGGGGGTCATCCCTGGGTGCGTGGCTGCAGTGTGCTTCCACGGCGCGGCTTCTGCTGCGCTGCGCTGCGCTGCTGTCGCGCGCGCTCGCCTTCGCGCCCCTGCGAGGGGGGCCCAGGGGTAACGACGCCGATGCTCCCCTGCACCTCTCCCGGGGCCTCCCTCCCTCCCTCCCTCCCTCCCTCCCTCCCTCCTATATCCTCCTCCTCCTCCTCCTCCTCCTCCTCCCCCTCCCCTCCTCCTCCTCCTCCTCCTCCTCCTCCTCCTCCATAAAGCACATGATGGCTCCTCGTCCTCGCGGCTCCCACCCCGCGCTCCCGAGGCCGCGACGCCATGCCCCCGCGTCCTCCTCCTCCTCCTCCTCCTCCTCCTCCTCTGCCTCCTCCTCCTTCTCTCACTGCAGCTCCTCTTCCTACTCCAGCTCCTCGTCGTCGTCGTCCTCCTCCTCCTCCTCCTCCTCCTCCTTCTCCTCCTCCTCTCCTCCTCCTCCTCCCCCTCCTCCTCCTCCTCCTCCCCCTCCTCCTCCTACCCCTCCTCCTTGACATGCTTTCCAGGGTCGGCGGAGCCGGCCATAAGGCCCTTGCAAGGTCATGGATCCGGCCCCAGGGGCCACGGCCCCGCGAGCCCCGCAGGGAGCTCCACCGAAGGCCCCGGCGGCAGGGCCCACATGCAGTGTCGCCCCCCTCTCGGCGCAACCCTCGCACGCTCCGTGGCCGCAGAAGGGAGCTCCACCGAAGGCCCGAGCATGCGAACCTAAGGAGCGATGGTACAAACCTGAGGAACAATAGAGGCCCCTCCGACCTCGAAAGTCTACAATGAATGGCACTGCACTGCATGCTTCTACAACGGCTGAAGCAAAGCTTCAACATGACCGATCACGAATATGGGCTGGCGGAGTGAGCGAAGCGATTATGATAACCCACGGAGGCCCAAGGTGGCACGAAGGCCCAAGGAGGCAGGATCCGCATGCAGTTCCGTCCCCGATCTTCGAAGCGCGATCTGGGGCATCGGTGTCGTTCCCTCCTCCGCCGAACCTCTCCTTGATCTGGAGCCTCAGGGCATGGAGCGTGGTGAGCGTGACGCTCCTCCAAGAGGGCGCAGGGGGGGAGGGAGGAGGGGGGGAGGGTGGGAGAACGGAGGGAGGGAGTAGGAGGAGGAGGAGGAAGAGGAGGAGGGAATACCAGTGTAAACCCAAGACTCATCATTGAAATACACCCTCTCTCCAAGATCCCTCTTCAGAAGCTCCTACGGAAGATCATTTCCACTGAAAGACTTGCCCCATTGGGGGACAACCGTGTGAACATCTCGAAGTTCCTCAAGACTTCAACGCCACGAGTTGGAATGTCGGTTACGTTTTTGCGATCCTGAATCAAGGACAGAACACCATTCCTGGGACTTCAACACAACGAATCAAAGTAACCCTTGCGCCCTGACAGTCCTAAAACGAACAGCCCGTAATCGATGAAACCCTTGCATAGTTTTAAAACGAATGTGCGCGGTGTTGAAGCGAGAACCACATGTCGAAAACGACCCACACTCAACATGTGAATACTTTTGCACATGATTGAAACGCATGCGCGCGGCGCGGACACGAGATCAACATTTTGAAAACGGCCCGCCCTCGATCCGTGAATCTCTCGCAACTGTTAAAACGAATGTGCGCGGCGCTCAAACGAGAACCACAATTAAAAAATCACCCGCCCTCAATCCGTGACACTCGTGCAATGTTTGACAAACAAGACAACGTGCGCGGCGCTGAGGCGAGAACCACATGTTGGAAACTGTCCGCGATCGACCCGCGACACTCCTACATTTTTTAGAACAAAAAACGCATGTACGCGGCACTGAACGAGAACCACATTTTGAAAACGAACCAACCTCAATCAGGTATACGCTTTTCGCGAGTGTTTAAAACGAGTATGCGCGGAGCTGAAGCGAGCATCACACTTTGAAACCGACCCGCCACCAGCTCGTGAAACACGTGCGTTTTTGTACAACGAATGTGCGCGGCGCTAAGGCGAGAACCACATTTTGAAAACGGCCCGCCCTCCATCTGCAACACTCATCAAACATCAAACTCATACATTGTGAGGAAGAACGCCCGGCCCGCCCTCTCGACCGTCCTCGGGGTGCTACAGGGAGGAGTTGCCTACAAGGAAAAGGAATGGAGAAGGAGGAGGGAGGAGAAGACAACGACTCATGTTTTTGAGGAGGTAGCAGGTCAAAGGAAGAGGAGGGGGAGGAGGAGGAGGAGGAGGAGGAGGAGGAGGAGGAGGAGGAGGAGGAGGAGGCGGAGGAGAGGAGAGGGGAGGAGGAGGAGGAGCAGGAGGGAGGAGGAGGGAGGGGTGGAGCGAGGAGGAGGGAGGGAGGGGTGGAGCGAGGAGGAGGGAGGGAGAGAGGGTGGGGGAGGAGCGAGGAGGAGCGGGGAGGAGAAGGAGGAAGAGGAGATGCAGGAGCAGGAGGAGCAGGAGCAGGAGCAGGAGGAGAGGGAGGATGAGGAAAAGGAGGAGGAGGAGTGGAGGCGGCGGGACCCCTGACGCTCCTGCTGTTGTCCCCAGCCCTGGCTGCCCTGGCCGCGGCCTCCGCCGCCATGGTGGCCGCGGCGGCCGTGGTCTCCTTCGCCTCGGGGAGAGGGCTCGATGTGCACACCACGCCGCTCCTGGTCGGCCAGCGAGACCAGGAATTCTCGGCGAAAGAGCTCTCGGAGGAAAAAGAAGTATGCACATACACCGATTCTGGCCAGGCCCATCCTGAGCCCAGGATCGGTGCATACGCCCTCCTACCTTGGCCAGGAAGGCATATGCACCGATCCTGGGTCAAGGATGGGCCTTGCCAGGATCAGTGCATGTGCATAGTTCTCTTCGCCCGAAGAGAGACCAGGAATTCTCGGCGACAGAGCTCTAGGCCACCCAACGTCGCGCATCGCGCATCGCGCCCTCTTGCTCTCGCGCCGCGGCCCATCTGAAGGGGCCCCAGGACACACACATAAATACACACAAAGAAAAATATTCCGCATATTTTCCCATATTTTCTGGGTCTCTGGTCTTCCCCCCACTTCCCATATTTTCCCATATTTCTGGGAAATCGACGATTCATTGTGTCTGTGTGTTTTTTCCCCTCCTGATCCAGGTCGGCCAGCGAGACCAAGAATTCTCGGCGAAAGAGCTCTAGGCCACCCAACGTCGCGCATCGCGCATCGCGCTCTCTTGCTCTCGCGCCGCGGCCCATCTGAAGGGGCCCCAGGACACACAAACACATACACACAAATAAAACGATTCCCCATCTTTTCCCATCTTTTCTGGGTTTCTGTCTTCCCCCCCACTTCCTATATTTTCCAATATTTTCTGGGGAATCGACGATTAATTGTGTCTGTGTGTTTTTTCCCTCCTGATTCTCGGCGAAAGAGCTCTAGGCCACCCAACGTCGCGCATCGCGCATCGCGCCCTGTTGCTCTCGCGCCGCGGCTCATGGAGGAGGGCAGCTGCCCAGTCCGGGCAGCGACGGACAAAGCGGCGGTGCTCTTCGCGACGGACAAAGCAGCTGCCCAGTCCGGGCAGCGACGAAAACAGAGTTCGGAAGAAGGCATGCGTTGCTCCACAGCCACCGCTCAGGGGCAGAGACAACGGGGGGCTGGCACGGGGGGACGTCTATTCCCCATGCATGGTTCGGCTTCGCGCGTGTCTTCCTTTCGCAAGATGAGCCAAGATGTTCTTCGATGGCCCAAGCCGAGAAAACGGGGGTCAACGATAGGGGGGACTGGCATAGGGGGGGGAGCCATCGACCTGGAATCGCCGAAAAATCGCCGATAGATGGGCGACAGGCTCCCGATGGCGAAACCGCTCGTTCCTGGGCGGGGTGGGCTATCGGGCCCCTGTTGGCGATCACTGAGCATATAGGGGGGGCCCATGCACCCCCTTTGAGCCTAATCCCCCCCCCTATCGTTGCCCCTGGACCGCCCGAGGGGGTCCATCTTCAGGGGCCTGAAGCAGGCGGCAGGCATGGACAGGTCTGGCCGCCCCAGGGCCAGAACACGCCCCCAGACATGCGACGTGCTGACTTTTTCAGGACGGCGTCCCCGGGATTCCCGACCCCTTCCTCGAGGCCGGCCTGTCATCCTGAGTCCTTTTGTGACGGTCCTGGGGCCCGGCGAGGGCCCCCAGGGGCTGAACATAGCGACAAACCTTCGTCCTGATCTTTTTTACGACGCGATCATGTCCGGGCCCGACTCCGTCCGTGGCCACCGCCTGCCGAGGCCGCCGAAGATTTGGATCCCCGGGGGGCCCCCAGGGGGCCCCCGGGGGGGCGGTGCTCCCCAGCGCCCCACGGCATCGGGAGGCCCCGGCGCGGCGATGCGCGCCGAACCATGTGGCACGACCAGGCGGCTCGGCTAGGCTTAAGTCGGGCGTGTCCCCCTGCAGGCCGAGCCTGGACGGAAAATTACAGATAGCCAAACAATACCGTAAACTACTCAAACATAGTGAACAAATCCTCCCCAGACTATTTTTTGAGACTATTTTTGAATGCTCCTCCTGTAGAGGGACAGGTCCGACTTCAGGTTAGGCGACCGACGTTTGATCCATGCCCCTGCTCACGCTCCGAACCCCCCCGAGGGGCCAGGGCCGCGGCATGGGCAACATTCTGGCCTCCAGGCCGCGCCGTGTACCCGGGCCCTGCTCCCGCTGGCCCTCCAGAGTGGGGGGGGGCTCCGGCAGGGGCACGGCCAGCCCGTACAGTGAGGACGCACGAGAAGGAGACAGGGGCCTTGGAAGGCCGCGTCGGCACTTTGCGAGCGGGGCGCAGCCAGCGAAAGCGGCCAAGGACGGGAATAATGGGAGGGATGCAAAAGAAACCTTGGAGAATCGCTAATCCTTTCTATCAATGTTGACCGTGAGCCCGCGAGATCGGCCTTCCAGAAACAGGTTGGCTCTGCCCTCGAACCACGAGCTACCCGTGACACAGACCCCCCGACGTCGTGATTGCGCTCTTCCATGGCAAATTGCCGATCCTTACTACATGCGGGTTGACTGTCTGGACGTATGGGCCGAGCGTCGGTCATCGACTGGTGCAGACTTCGAGCCCTGCCGGTCGCCCAGGCAGGAGAGCGCTCCCCAGACTCGTCCTGCCTGTCGGGGCTGGTGGCATCCAGCCGGAGCGCCGGCGGCGAGTGGCCGGAGAGCGGCTGCGTCCAGGAGGTGGTGAGCACCTTCGGAGGAGGTGCACCAGCACGGCAAAGCCGCGCCGCGAGGACGCGGGCACTTGTGAGGGGGCCCTGGGACACACAAATAATTAGTAAAGATATTCCCCGTATTTTCCCATATTTTCTGGGTTTCTATCTTCCCCCCCACTCCCCCCACTTCCCATATTTTCTCATATTTTCTGGGGAATCGACGATTAATTGTGTCCGTGTTTTTCTTCCCCTCCTGAACTTGGTAGGCCCTGGAAGCGACAAGGCCGTGTGTGTGTGTGTGTGTGTGTTACCAGTTCCGTTCCGCCGTTTTTGTTGTCGGTTCTGGCGCCCGTTGTTCTCCAATTCCGTCGCCGTCCTGTTGCAGGTTCCGGTTCTGTGTCCAATTCCGGATTTGGCCCGCTCGGTTGCCGTTTTCTCGCCGCTTCCATTTTCAAGAGACGCTTCTTCGGAAACGGTGTGAAAAAACGGCCCTGCCGCTGCCGGGGCCCACTAAACGCTGGCACTGGTGTCTGACACTCCGTGGGTCGTTCGATCCTGAACGGGCGCCGCTCTCAGTAACGAGCAGACACATGCCGCTTTCAGGGAGGAGGAGGAGGAGGAGGAGGAGGAGGAGGATGAGGAGGAGGAGGAGGAGGAGGAGGAGGAGGAGGAGGAGGTGTAGAGGGGCTGGCCCGCGCCTCGCGATCTGAGGCTGCGCTAGAGGTATGCGTGTGGATCGTCGGACACCGAAGGGGGGGGCCACTCCTCCTTCTCCTACTCGTCCTCCTCCTCGTCCTCCTCCTCCTCGTCCTCCTCCTCGTCCTCCTCCTCCTCCTCCTCCTCTCCTCCTCCTCCTCCTCCTCCCCCTCCTCCTCCTCCTCCTCCTCCTCCTGGTCTCACCTCTCATCGCGCGAGGAGGAGCGGGGGACACCGAAGGGGGGGGGCCACTCGAGCGGTGACCCCCCTCCGACAACACGCAGCCAGGGCCGTTCCAAAGTCCACCCCAACTTGAGTACGGGATCGTCTACAGGAGTGAGTACCCAAAAATGAACTTTCTCTCCGAAGCTACGGAACAATACTTAGAATGCTCAGCAGATGTGCGAGCACTCCGCGCATTCGTCGTACATTCGCTGGGGGAAATCACATGTGGGGAAATTCAATTCTGTAGTCGATCCCCTACTCGACCAGCAAATCTTGGGGTCGTATGGGTCAAGGTGCTGGTTCTCAGCACACGGTCCTGACATCGGGCATCTATCAATATTCGGGCGTTGGCAGAACTGGGTTTAGTGGGTCCTGGTTTAGCGATGTGTCCTTGGGCACTCCCCGAGTCGGACTCCCCCCCCGCCCGGCTCCACTAACCGCAACTGCCGTCACCCGAAAAACACCAGCCACGGCAGACCTGGTTGACAAATTCTGGCCAATTTAGGCGCTCCGGGGCCCTACTACTAGCTGGGTCCCCTTCCCAGACCCCCGACGTAATGATTTTTTTCATGACGTCGACCCCCAAAGGTCTCGACCCATTCCCCGGGACCGGTTTCTCATCCTGAGTCGTTTTTGGACGGCCCCGAGGCCCGGCGAGGGCCCCCAGAGGCCGAAAATGACCAAAAACCTCGCGTCCTGTTTTCTTCCTTACTCGAGGGGGTCTGGGTTACCTGGGGCCCTGGCTATGTGCCCGAAAAATATGCTGGCCGAGTTCGGGCGGCCGGAGCAGTTCTCCACCTGGAAAGAAGCCCGCGCTGGGGTTGCCCCCCCGCGTTGGAGTGTGTCGCGGGCCCAGCGCACCGACGCCGAAGCACCCTACCTTAGGTCGGGCATGTCCCCCTACATTGGAGGCCCTGGGCCCAGGATGGGCCTGGCCAATGGTGGTGGACACGCGGGCCGCTCTGGAACCCCTGAACCCAAAAATTGCAGGCCTGGAACCCACCCAGAACCCCTCGCGCTGTTAAAAAACACAACGGGAAGTTTTCGCTGTTTTCGGTTTTCGACGGCCCCTACCGGGCCTCGGGACCGTCAACAAAAACGATTCAGGACGAAGAACGGGTCCTGGGGAAGCGGTCAAGACCTCCAGGGGTCGACGTTGTGAAAAATTCACGACGTCGGGGGTCTGGGAAATGGGCGCCAACACCAACACAGGGGGGTTGCCTCCACAGGGGGAAGATGATCCTAGATTTCGATGCTGGTGGTAATGATTCGGTCACCCTGGAAGCCAAAATATCACCACCATCACCGAGATCGGGATCTTCTTCCCTCGGTGGAGGCACATCGCCGATATTGGTGTTGGTGTCCACCTCTTGGCCTGCGACTGCAGGCGGATTTTAGACGAAGAATCAAACCCATTCAAACATAGATCAAACATATTGAAGACGTAGTGCAGACGTCGTCCCCAGACTGTTCATTTACTATCTTCGGATGCTCCTCCTGTAGAAGGACATGCCCGACTTAACCCCACCTGCGCAGTGTGCTGGGCCTTCTTCGGCGGGAAGGAGCCGGGTCCTGAGAACAAAACGCGGCGGCTCCTTACCCCTGGGGCTGCCCCCTGGGACGAGCTCTTCCCCGCACGACAGGCCGGGGCTCTTTTCTCTGGTGTTGGAAACAACAGGGATCTCCTCGCACACCCAGCATTGAGCATCGTTTAATCGATCCCTATCCCCACGGGCGTGGCCTGGGCCCCACTCGCCGATGTGTCCCCTAGACGGGGATATAGGCTGGTCCCTTCGAGTCTCGAGGGGCATATCCTCAACTAGGGCGGTGGGATGGTGGGGATCTGGACGGGGATGGAGAGTGGGACAGGGGTCGGTCAAACGATGCTGAAGCATGCCGCGGCCGCCAAGCCCCAACAGGTGCCGGCGCTCCCTGGGTACCCCGCCTCGTGCCTTTGGCCAGTGTGGACCTCGTGCCACGACCACCAGAGGCACATGTGTGCGCATGCTCCCTGGACATGTCCCGCCTCGCGATCTTGGGTGGGAGATCGCTCGAGGCACAGTGATTCATCCTCAATGGTTGCTCGACATCCACAGGGCCCGAGGAGGCAAAAGACCTGGCGACCAGTTTCCCGCAGGACCCGCTTCCTTTACAGTGGAGGCCAGTCCACAAGAAACCTTCCACCAGAAACCCAACCCTGAGACCCCAGGGCGTCCACTGATTTTTGGCGTGGGAACGTCGCGCTCTCCATCGCAAAACTATCGAAACCCAAGAAGCCCAGGGCACCCTGGAGGCAAGCAGGGTGTTTCTTGGCATGGGCCTCCACTGTATGCGGTAATGGTACCCGTCGCCATTGCACGCGCCTTAGTCCATGTCTGCGCTCTTCGAAGGTTTGGGGATCAGCGGCATCGCTGTGTGCTTCGCCCCATGCCCTCCTCCTCCTCCCCCTCCCCTCCCTCCCCCTCCCCCCCCTCCTCCTCCTCCTCTCCTCCTCCTCCTCCTCCTCCTCCTCGTCCTCCTCCTCCTCCTTCTCCCCCCCCTCCTCCTCCTCTCCTCCTCCTCCTCCTCCTCCTCCTCCTCCTCCTCCTCCTCCTCGTCCTCGTCCTCCTCCTCCTCCTCCTCCTCCTCCTCCTCCTCCCTCTTCTCCTCCTCTCTCCCCCTCCGCCTCCTCCTCCTCCTCTTCATCCTCGTCCTCCCCCTCCCCCTCCCCCTTCCTTCCCTTCCCTTCCCTTCCCTTCCTCCTCCTCCTCCTCCTCCTCCTTCCCCCACCGAAGCACCGGCTGCTCGTTGGAGCGAGGCCGCGGCTCCTGGGGCGGGCCGATGATCCACTCTGCCACCGCTGTGATCGACAAGGCTACTGCCTGCACCTTCGGAACGTTACGGGAGTTGCAACAAATAATTGAAAAATTGTCCCCTGACGATTTTGCTAACTATTTGTGGATACTCCTCCTGTAGAGGGACACGCCCGACTTAAATATATAGGCCCCCGATCTGATGAGTCCGCGCGCCCAGGGCGGGCCTTCGGGCCCTTCTCACATCAGTGGTCCGGGGCGCGCAAGCATGGACTAGCGATCCATGGACTTGGCGCGCGGTCACCAAATCCAGGGATCGGGTGGGGGTGGGCCCTCCCCAAAATGCCGCCGTTGCCACCCCGTTCGGCGGCGGAAATCCGCGATTTCCCATGGAAGCGGGGCCCGTCGCTAATCCACGCCCCTTGATCCATGTTTGCGATCGCCTGCGTCTGGTCGCATGCATCAGCACGCGCGGGCGCGAGACGACAAAAACGGGTAAGGGTACGTGGCTCATAACCAGTACTGCCGCCCAGTGCTGGTTCTTGGCCTCCAGAGGCATCTGACAGGTGGGACCCCGCGCCGAGGGAAGTGCCCGCGGGGGCGCAGTGCGAGCTACGAGGCACGATGAGGACGGGCCACAGCGACGAGGAAAACAGAAACTGTGCCTCCTCCTCCTCCTCCTCCTCCTCCTCCTCCTCCTCCTCCTCCTCCTCCTCCTCCTCCTCCCTGAGCCTCGTCGTCGTGGTTGCTCTCCTCATCTCTTTCCTATCCCCCCTCCCCCTGTCCTTCCCGTCCTCCTCCCTCCTCTGCCTCCGCTCCCTCTTCTTCCACTTCCCACCGCTCCTCTTCAGCATGCCCCTCCTACCCCACCTCGCCTCCTACCCCGTCCACCTCCACCTCGCCCTTCTCATCATCACCACGCCCACCCGTGCTCGTGCTGCTCCACCTCGCAGCTGGAGCTCCTCACTGCGTCCCCCGCCGCGCCTCCGGACCCACCCGCCTCGGGCGCGCGCAAGCATGGATCGAGGCTCCGTGGATCTGGCGCGCGGGCGCCGGATCCATGTCTCGGGACAGGCACCGCCGAAACATGGGGCCAGTGTCGCCGCATCCGGCGACGGAGCGCGCCGACTTCGTTCGGAAGCGGGACCCGCCGCTGATCCGCGTGCCGTGGTCCATGTTTGCGTGTCTTTGGCGATTCCTCTCATCCTCACTGCACGTCGGTCGGAAGTGGGTAAAACAATGAAGCAGGAAGGCCTAGGAAATAGATTGGGCTGCCGCCTGCCCCCTGACGTGGAGGGAAGGGGTAAAACTGCTCGACCCTTGACGTAGGACGGCGCCTAAAATAGACTGGGATCTGGGAATCCACCACTACCTACTCTCAACGACAGGCGTGCACGTGTTCTTGACCATGACCTCTCATCAGCACAACGCTCCTCCATGCTCGTCCTGCTCCCCCCACAGCTGGTGCTTCTCCAACTCCTCCTCCTCCTTCTCCTCCTGTCCTGCCCCTCTGTCCTGCCCTGCTCCCTGCCCTCGCCCTGCCCCCGATGCCCCCCCGCCGCCTGCCTCCTTCCCTGCCTCTTCCCCTGCCTCCTCAGCATGCTCCTCTTCCACCACCTCGCTTCGCCTCCTCCTCCTCCCATACCCTCTCCTCCTCTTCGCCTGCCTCCTCAATACGCTCCTGTGCCCCTGCCTCGCTCTGCCTCCTCCTCTTCCCGCACCCCCTCCTCGTCATGTTCCCCTCCGCCTCGCCCCTCCGCCTCCATTTGCCCCTCGTCTCTGAACCCCGCATCTCTGGTCCGCCTGCTCCATCGTCTCTTTTGAAGTCCCTCCTCGCCCACTCTTCTCCTCCTCCATTCTCGCTCCCCACCCCGAACTGGACTTCTACATCCTCCACCTTGATCCTTCATCCAGATCCTCCCCACTTCCCTTTCCATAGCTTGAGCTTCCCCTCGCCCTCCGTTCGTCCTTCCCTCCCTCCCACTCCCTCCCCCCATCCAGCCTCTCCCTCCTCCCACCCCAGGCCATCCTCCTCATAAGGCCCTTTCAACTTCCACTCTCCCCTTCTCCTCCCCCTCCCCCGCCTTCTTCTTCTCCTCCTCCTCCGTCGACCCTCTCCCAGTCCTCTTCCTCATCCTCCTCCTCCTCCTCCTCCTCCTCCTCCTCCTCCTCCTCCTCCTCCTCCTCCTCCCCCGCAACCACCTTCTCCCCCTCCTCCTATTTGCCCTCCTGCATCCCCCCCCCCCCACCCTCCTGCTGCCCGCCGCCGCAGGCTTCCACCGCCAGCGAAGGCAGAACGAGGCGCGGGCTTGTGTGGGCAAGGCGATCGGCACGAGAATGGGGGAGGGGGAGGGGGAGGGGAGATGAGGAGGAACGGGGAGCAGCAACAGGAGGGGAAGGACTGCCCCCTGCGAGAGGCACAAGCACACGGGGAGCTGAAGAGGAAGAGGAGGAGGAAGAGGAAGAGGAGGAGGAAGAGGAAGAGAAGGAGAAGGAGGCGCAAAGGAGGAGGACGACGACGAGGAGGACGAGGATGAGGAGGAGAAAGACAGACGGGAACAGACCTGAGATGCAACATGCATCACCGACGCTGCTTTCCCGGTCATCTGGCGACTCGGTGAAAAGTCAGGACAGCCTGATTCGCATCATCTTCGGCCTCTGGAGGCCCTCTGGGCCCTAGGACGGTCAGCAGAAGCGGCTCAGGCTGAAAAGCTGGTCGGGTCAGACGGTCTGGGGGCACACGTCTAGAACAAAACGAGCCGTCAGCCGCATAGGATACAGCTTCCCACACTCGCGCCCCCCCTCACATGTCCCTGCAGTCGGGGCTGATTGGAGGGGACACGCGAGAGGACACAAGACCCTTCCGAGGGCCACAGTGCCATAAGAACGTAAGAAGGCATGGGTCGCGAAGCACAGGACACGCGGGCACCCTTGATTTGGCAGGGCCGACCTACTCGCCATCGCTCGGACGTCCATTCCCCATGCATGTTTCGGCTTCGCGCGTGTCTTCCTTTCGCAAGATGAGCCAATCTGTTCATCGATGGCCCAAGCAGAGAACATGGGGGTCAACGATAGGGGGGACTGGCATAGGGGGGAGATGCATCGACCTGGAATCGGCAATACATCGCCGATAGATCGGCGATAAGCCTCTGATAGTGAGTCCGGACCTTCCTGGGCAGGTTGGGGCTATCGGGCCCCTATCGGCGATCAATGGGTGATTGGGGGTCGATGCATCCCCCCTATGCCTGTCCCCCCCCTATCGTTGCCCCTGAGACAGCATGCACACGTGAGAGAGGTGCCAAGCCTACTAGTCGGCCTCAACGCGCCGTTTTGAACAGAGATCTGCCCTCTTTCAGTTTGGCCTGAAACCGTGCCCAATCCGCAACTGCGAGGGACGAGGCATACCTAATCACAGATCGGCCCTCCTGCCGAACACAAGGGCAGCCTTCGCTGCTTTCCCGCGCCACCGTGGGCAGGTCTCCCACCGGGCGAGCAGGTGGCACGCCCGCCGCGAGGGCAGTGCCGTCCGCTCTGGCCGCGGCCCCCTCGTCCCACGTTCGGGGTGCCTCCCGTTTTCGCCTCACCCTCTCGAGGCGCCTCCCGCTTTCGCCGGCGGATCAAGTTTTGAGGACTGTCTCGAGCGAGAAGCTGGTTTCTGAAATTCCGATCGATAAAAACACACATGGTGAAGTGAAGATTGCCGCTTGTTGCGGACGTCTTGAGCGAAACACTTGTGTTGCCGAGTTTGTTGAGGATGTCTCGAGCGCTCTTGCCACTTTCGGCGGCGAGCGAGGGGGGGAAGCGAGAAGGAGAAGGCCGTCTCAGAAGGTAGCGGCGCTTCTCAGAAGCCATCGCGCCCTCTGAGAGGCTGTCTGTCTTCGGGCAAAACTTCAAAACCTTTCAGAAGGCCGAGGGACTTCCGAGCCTTCTGAGAGGGCCAGCCCCTTCTCACTTCCCCCCCGCGCTCGCCGCCGACCACGAGCATGATCATATCATGAAGGGAACGTCCAACGCGGGCCCAATTTTGAACATGAGCAGCCCTGCACCTGCGTACCTGCTTCACACGCGCGCACTTCTACCGGCACAACTCCATTATGAGATGGGGCGGTTCTCAGTCTGCATAACTGTTGCGTATCTCAGCTCCTGGCAACACCTTCCGAGGAGGTCTCAAGCTAGATCCCATTTTGATTTTGGGGCAGTACCGATCTCCATCCGACTGCGCCAAGCATTTAAAAGAGATGTGCTCGACGCCACGGCGGCGTCGCCAAAACGGGAAATTCATGAAAAACGGCGTAGGGTCAGAAGGTGGGTTAGAACATCAACCCGGAGGAAGAACTCGTGCTCTAATCCAAACACCGCCACATCGGACGTTATGGCTTAGTGGGCCCTGGCAACGACAGGGGGCAGGGAGTACCTGCTGAACTATGGCGCCGTTTTTGATAACGTTTCCGGCGCTGCTGTTTTACCGCTTTCGCTTCCCCTGCCAGGGGCCTGGTCCAGATCACACCTGTCCTACCAGATCCGCGCCGTGTTCGAACCAATGCCGAACGCATCCTGGATCCCCGAACTACCCAGGCCGTTTCGGTGCACAGTCTTGCTTCGGTTTCGGCTTCGGTGAAGCGTTCATTGCAATTTCCACCATCGGAGAGAAAAGGTGTTGAAAAATCTGTGACAAAGAAAAACTCCGCCCCCAGGAGTGGCAGTGCGACTACTGCCGACCACGCCTGTGACTCGGAGGAGTGGTCATGCGACTCTCAGCGGCGAGCCCAGGGGGAATAAGTCAGAGGGGGCGGGCCTTCTTAGCAGGCTCGGAAGGCATCGGGCCTTCTGTGAATAATAGAGGCCTCCTAGAAGGGGTCCGATAGGATGGGGTCGGAGGATCGAGCCGCGTCGCCGATGCATCGGCGATGCATCGAGGATGCATCGGCGACGTCGGCGATACATCGGCGCCGTCGGCGTGGGGAAAGTCGGCTCCACATCGAGCCGCATCGCCGATGCATCACCGATGCGGCGCGATCCTCCGAAGCCATCTACGTACGGCAGGCTCGTGTCGTGCCGACTTCGGCTTTGGTTTCTGACACCGCAGGGATCGTTCAACCTTGAACGGTCGGCTATTTCCGAAGCGTCAGATCCTTCAGCATCGACCGATTCTCGGTCGCCGGCAGCGTTCAACATTGAGCGCTAGCGGCGGGGTCGCTGCTGGTCGACACGACGCGAACCTACCGTACTCGGACCCCACCTGGGAGGCCAAGGTCTGAGTCTTCTGCGAGCGCAGAGACGGCTTCTCACAAGGCGCGAGGGCTGCCCTCAGTCCCGCCGCCTCCCAGGCGCCCCCAGAGTCGCATCGACAAGTCGGGTCGGCAATAGAAACACATCGGATCGGCGGAAAGCGGCAGCCGAGTCGGGAAGAGTCGAATCGGCGGACATCGGCAGCCTGGTAGGCCTCCATTAAGACATCGGAACCCGGGATGGGAATCCCGAGCCGAACCGAATCGGAATCGGAAGCCACCGACATCGGATCGAATCGAATCGGAGAAATCGAAACGACCCTTGTCTTCTGCCCGGGCGCGCCTCCGAGATTCTGCAAAAGGGGGGCCGAGGGGCCCCTCGCCGCGGGAGAGCGGAGCAGGAGGGTCGGGTTGACCCAAAAGGGGGTCTAGCGACAGAAGAAGTGGTGCAATAGATTTGGTGCAATAGATGCGTGGGGCTGCAGGACAATTGGGGTGTGCAGTACATTCCGGGTCGCAAATGTACTGCTGGGCTTCCGCGTGCAATACTCTAATTGCAATACAATGCAATACGTTTCCCTGGCGCAATACATGTACAAAACAATTGCCGCAAACCTACTGCACCAACCCCTTTCAGCTGGACCCCCTTTTGGGTCAACCAGAGAGGGGCCCCTCCCGTCGAAGAATTGCAGACTTCGCGTTGAAAGCTTGGCGACTTCTGCTTTTCCTGAGACATCCGCGCTGGAGCGGCCGCACTTTGCTCCGACTGTCGCGGAAGGTCGTCTGGATTTACCTGATGTACCTTTAGGTCGGGCATGTCCCCCTGCAGGCGGATTTTGGACGAAAGAAAGAAAACATATTCCCAATGTGTCAACTCTTTTTCCCAACCATCCTGTGGTGTTGGGTCCTCGTTTTGAAGAGACGGTGCCCCGCGTCCTCCTCTCCTGTCTTCCTCCTCCCCCCTCCTCCCTCCTCCCGTCATCATCATCATCGTCATCATCATCACCATCATCGTCGTCATCGTCATCGTCATCATCGTCGTCGTCATCATCGTCATCATCGTCATCATCACCATCATCGCCATCATCATCGCCGTTATCGCCACCATCAGCATCATTGTCATCCTCCTCCTCATCATCATCATCAGCATCATCATCATAATCATCATCATCATCATCATAATCATCACCATCCTCCGCATCATCACCATCACCATCACCATCACCATCACCATCACCATCACCATCACCATCACCATCACCATCACCATCACCATGATCATGAACATCATCATCATCATCATCATCATCATCATCATCATCATCATCATCATCATCATCATCATCATCATCATCATCAGCATGCGTCCCCTGCACCCATTTCGGCACACCCCTCACACGTTTCGTGGCCCCATAGGGAGCTCCACCGAACGCCCCAGCGTCTGCGCTCGCATGCGGTTCCACCCCCCCCCCCATTTCGGCACACCCCTCACACGCTTCGTGGCCACATAGAGAGCTCCACCGAAGGCCCCAGTGTCTGCGCTCGCATGCGGTTCCACCACCCTTTTCGGCACACCCCTCACACGTTTCGTGGCCCCACAGGGAGCTCCACCGAACGCCCCAGTGGCTGCGCTCGCATGCGGTTCCACCCCCCTTTTCGGCACACCCCTCACACGTTTCGTGGCCCCACAGGGAGCTCCACCGAAGGCCCCAGTGGCTGCGCTCGCATGCGGTTCCACCCCCCATTTTCGGCACCCCCTCATACGTCCGTGGCCCCATAGGGAGCTCCACCGACGCCCAGTGGCTGCGCTCGCATGCGGTTCCACCCCCCATTTCGGCACACCCCTCACTCGTTTCGTGGCCCCATAGGAGCTCCACCGAAGGCCCCAGCGTCTGCGCTCGCATGCGGTTCCACCCCCATTCTGCACACCCCTCACACGTTTCGTGGCCCATAGGGAGCTCCACCGAACGCCCCAGTGGCTGCGCTCGCATGCGGTTCCACCCCCCATTCTCGCACACCCCTCACACGTTTCGTGGCTCCATAGGGAGCTCCACCGAAGGCCCCAGTGGCTGCGCTCGCATGCGGTTCCACCCCCCATTCTGGCACACCCCTCACACGTTTCGTGGCCCCATAGGGAGCTCCACCGAAGGCCCCAGTGGCTGCGCCCGCATGCGGTTCCACCCCCCATTCTGGCACACCCCTCACACGTTTCGTGGCCCCATAGGGAGCTCCACCGAACGCCCCAGTGGCTGCGCTCGCATGCGGTTCCACCCCTCCATTCTGGCACACCCCTCACACGTTTCGTGGCCCCATAGGGAGCTCCACCGAAGGCCCCAGTGGCTGCGCTCGCATGCGGTTCCACCCCCCATTCTCGCACACCCCTCACACGTTTCGTGGCCCCATAGGGAGCTCCACCGACGGCCCCAGTGGCTGCGCTCGCATGCGGTTCCACCCCCCATTCGGCACACCCCTCACACGTTTCGTGGCCCCACAGGGAGCTCCACCGAACGCCCCAGTGGCTGCGCTCGCATGCGGTTCCACCCCATGTTTCGGCACACCCCTCACACGTTTCGTGGCTCCATAGGGAGCTCCACCGAAGGCCCCAGTGGCTGCGCTCGCATGCGGTTCCACCCCCAATTCTGGCACACCCCTCACACGTTTCGTGGCCCCATAGGGAGCTCCACCGAAGGCCCCAGTGGCTGCGCTCGCATGCGGTTCCACCCCTCATTCTGGCACACCCCTCACACGTTTCGTGGCCCCACAGGGAGCTCCACCGAACGCCCCAGTGGCTGCGCTCGCATGCGGTTCCACCCGCCCAATTTCGGCACACCCCTCACACGTTTCGTCGCCCCATATGCGGCGTCGCCCCATTTCGGCACACCCCTCACACGTTTCGTGGCCCCATAGGGAGCTCCACCTAAGGTCCCCGTGGCGCAGTGCGCATGGCGCCGCCGCCCCATTTCGGCACACCCCTCACACGTTCCGTGGCCCCACAGGGAGCTCCATCTCTCCATCTTAGGGAGCGCCACCGAGGAATATATCCACAATTGCGGTATTCACAACTACGTATGGTTGGGCCTTTCGTCAGGCTAATTTTCATCGACCCCGTATCACTTTCTAAAACTATTTTTGAATTTTCCTCCAGTAGAGGAGGGACGTGCCCGACATAGATGTATCTGGATCTACCTGGACTTACCTCGATCTATCTGCACGTGCCTGGATTCATCTGCGTCTGCCTGGATCTCTCTGGCTCGACCCCCACGAGTCGATCGGCGAAACGTCGTCAAGCCCGGGGGCACCGCACGTGAGCGCGCGCGGCACCGCATCCCCAGAGCACCCCCGGAGGAGCCGCTGCTCGACGTCCTGAGACGACCGAGACTGCATCCAGCGGGACGCACGTCGATCAGCTACGGCAGGCTCGCGTAGTTCGGGTCGGGCGAAAGGGGGGGGGATAGCAAAGGGGTGGTTCGAGACTCAGCTCGCGTAGCTGATTTTCCCGGCGCCTCCCGGCGCCGGAGGCGACTATGTATCGAGGAATGGGCCCCTCGGTGGGGCCGAAACCAGCTGAATGCAGCAAATTTTGTAATCCCCCCTTTCCCAATCCCCCCCTTTCGTCCGGCCCAAGTAGTGTCGACCCCGGCGTTGGTTCCTGACACCGCGGGGATCGTTCAAACTTGAACGATCGGCCCTTTCAGAAAGGCCGGATCGTTCAAGGATGGGCCGATTCTGAGCCACAAGCGGCGTGCAACCATAAACGCCCGCGCTGGGGTCGCCACTGGTCGGCACGACGCGAACCTGCCCCAAAAACCGGCCAGGGACTGCACTGTCACGTTCGTATGCCAATGTCGGATGGCCCCGCGCAGCTTTCCTCGATCCACTCGTCTGGGTGGGCGTTCTGTCAGTGCACCACCCTCAGAAGGCGAAGCGAGGAGCGAATCCGCCCCTACCTCAGATTCGACATCCTCTTTGTTTCAGTGCGGTCTCTGGGAAATCCCCGAACCTTTCCCCAAGGCTCGCTTTTCGCCTCGGGTCGTCTCCGGACGGCCCCGAAGCCCAGGGCCCCCCCGAGGCCGAGAACCCTCCCAAAACATGCTCCGTCGTGTGCATGTCTTGACGACGAGTGGAGGTGGCAGTTGGTCCAAAGCCCCGATCTGCGCCCCCTCGGTCATGCAAGTTCGCGGGCGGCCGACCCGGTCCGATCGCCCCCGTGGGCGAACCCTGCCCCCACCAGCCCTCGATCCTCAGGAATCGAGGGGAGGTGGGGGCAAAGCTCGGCTTTCGCTACGCGTTCGACGAACTCCGAGACCTACACTGCGGGCGCGGCCGCAAGAAACCGTCGCAAGAAACCCAACCCTGAGAACCCGTGCGCGAGGTGCACATGAGGGGAAACCTGGAGCACCCTGAACGCAGCAGCCCCTTCCAACGGCTGCGGGAAGTCACCGCGCAGCGCGAGGAGCGAAGGAACTCGGGATTCCCTGACGAAAAACACACATGGTTTCTTGATGCGCGCCCCCACTGTACTCCAGATATCGTAATAAAACGGAGGGGGTCTGGACCCTCCAAGACAAGCCATTTCAGACCCCCCCCCCCCCGTGGGAACATCGTCCCCAGACCCCCACAGGCCCTCCAAGATAGCCTGGAAGAGACCCCCCCCGAAATTAGACCCCCTCCCTTTTATTACGAAACCTGGAGTACCCCCGCCGCCCATCGAGTAGCCCGAGTCGTTGATCGGCGAGGGTAGTGTTCGGATTCCGCTGGCGGCTCATCTCCGTCCTGCGGCGGCTGCAGGGGCCCCCCGGGAGAGCCCGCGGCGGCCCGCGGGAGCTGCTGCTGCGTGGAGGTGCGCTGCCAGGACCGCGGCTTGTCCTTGTTGCTCGGCAAGCTCGTGGGCGATGCCTGCGGTGGGACGCACAAGGACGTACAAGTACTCCAGATTTCGTAAAAAAAAGGAGGGGGGTCTCATTTCGGGGGGGTCTCTTCCAGGCTATCTTGGAGGGCTTGGGGGGGTCTGGGGACGATGTTTTGGAGGGTTCTCCCACGGGGGAGGTCTGAAATGGCTTGTCTTGGAGGGTCCAGACCCCCTCCCTTTTATTACGAAATCTGGAGTACCGTGTGTCCTCGTCGGAGGCGTGCGGCTGGGCCGAGCAGATAGTACACGCCTCTTGTCGCAAATCTTTCCTAGAAAGGTACGGCCAGCCTGCCATCGCTCGGACGTCCATTCCCCGTGCATGTTTCAGCTTCGTGCGTGTTCTCTTTGGCTCGATTATCCAGGATGCTCCTCGATGGTCCTCGCCGAGCAGTAAGAAACACGTCCGATCGATGCCAAGCCGGGAAGCGCCCGCCACGATGTTCATGCCAGAAGATTTCTCGGCGCGCGCGGGGGCGACGCACACACTATATTGGTACCGGTCAAGCGCGTCCTCCTAAAGACGGATTTTACCCAAAAATTAAAATGGACAAAACAATGCTCAACAATAGTCAAAAATAACGGAAGAACCGTCACCAGGCTCATTTTTGGCAATGTTTGAATATTCCTCCTGTAGGGAGACATACCCAACTTAACATTGGTATGTCTGGGTGATGCCGTTGCGGCCCACCCTGTTCCCCGCTCCCTCCTCCCCCCCCTGATCCTCGCCTCTCGGCCTCGTCCCTCCCCCATCCAAATTCGCCTGGCGAAAAGCCGACCATCTGCACTTCTGCATTGTGAGTGCCGACTTACATGGAATCCCCCAAGAGGCAACGCCACATGCGGGCTGTGCCACTGGGGCCTTCGGTGAAGCTCCCTGTGGAGCCACGTAGCGTGCGTGGGTGGCGCCCACATGGGGGCTGTGCTTCTGGGACAATAGGTGGAGCTCCTTCTGGGGCCACGAAACGTGTGAGGGGTGTGCCGAAATGGGGGTGGCGCCCTAATGCGGGCGGCGCCACTGGGGCCTTCGGTGAAGATCCATGTGGGCCCACGTATCGCGTGAGAGCTGTGCCGAAACGGGGGTGGCGCCTGCATGCGGGCGGCGCCACTGGGGCCCTGGGTGAAATTCCTTATAGGGCCACGAAGAGTGTGAGGAGTGTGCCGAAACGGGGGTGGCGCCGCCACTGGGGCCTTCGGTGGAGCTCCCTATGGGGTCACGAAATGTGCTAGTGGTGTGCCGAAACGGGGGTGGCGCCCACGTGCGGGCGGCGCCACTGGGACCGTAGGTGGAATTCCTAGTGGGACCATGAAACGTGCTACGGGTGTACCAAAACGGGGGTGGCGCTCACATGCGGGCGGCGCCACTGGGGCCTTCGGTGGAACTCTCCATGGGGCCACGACGCGTGTAACGGGTGTGCCGAAACGCGGGTGGCGCCCACATGTGGGCGGCGCCACGGGGGCCACGAAGCGTGTGAGGAAGGTGCCGGAACGGGAGTGGCACCCACATGCGGGCGGCGCCGGTGGGACCTCCGGTGGAGCTTCCCGTGGGGCCACGGAGCGTGGCGGGGGAGTGTCGGAACAGGGGGTGGTGCCCACATGCGGGCGGCGCCGCTCGGGCCTTCGGTGGAGCTCCCAGTGGGGCCCCGAAACGTGTGAGGGGTGTGCCGGAACGGCGCGGCGGCGCCGCCGTGCGGACTGCGCCACTGGGACCTGAGGTGGAGGCCACGGAACGTGTGAGGGGTGTGCCAAAATGGGGCGGCGCCGCCATGCGGACTGCGTCACTGGGACCTGAAGTGGAGCTCCCTATGAGGCCACGAAGCGTGCGAGGGGTGTGCCAAGGGGGAGGGACATCTCTTCAAAACGAAGACCCAACGCCTCAGGATGGTTGGGGAACAGCGCAGAGGCACAGAGGCAGCCGCCAATCAGAGGCAGGCGTGATGGCAGTGGGCAGGCAGTGAAGCCAGCAAGGACGCAGAGGAGCGGCAGGCCCTGTGAAGAGGAGGGGGCGTGTACTTCTCCCACTCCCCGTCCCTCGTCTGCGCGTGCGCGCCGATCCTTGTCCCCGGCCCGCCTCTTCCCCCTCCTCCGCCTCCTCCTCTCCCTTCTCCTCCTTCTCCTCCTCCTCCTCCTCCTCGTCCTACCCCCTCCTCCTCCTCCTCCTCCTCCTCCTCCTCCTCCTCCTCCTCCTCCTCCTCCTCCTCCTCCTCATCCAATCCCCCACTCCTCCTCCCCCCTCATCCTCCTCCTCCTCCTCCAGCTCCCCTCCTCATCTCATCCTACCACTCCTCTCCCCCCTCCTCCTCCTCCTCCTCGTCCTACCCCCTCCTCCTCCCCCCTCCTCCTCCTCCTCTCCTCCCCTCTCTTCCTCCTCCTCCTCCTCCTCCTCCTCCTCCTCCTCCTCCTCCTCCTCCTCCTCCTCTGCCTCCTCCGGGGGAGCCAAGGAGCATCCCCACCCCAACCTGGCCCCTCCCCCGAGGAGGGCCAGGTAGTGGTGTGGGGTTGTTTCGTGCCGCTGTTCGAAGCATCCTCGTTGCAAGGGTTCGACACTCTCTGGCCCAGCCCCAGAGGGGCCAAACGGGGGGAGGGGCGCTCTCTTTCCCCAGTCTCCCCAGTCCTCCTCCCCAGTCCTCCTCCCTCTTCCCCAATCCTCCTCCCTCCTGTCGGGAGGCCCCTCACGGTGTGGTGA